CGCGAAAAAAAGTGGGTGCGTTTATTGAACCGTTTTTGATCCAATTACTATCAGCTATTGTTCGTTTTTGATTCAATTATTATTGTTTATTTAGTCCAAGGTATGAATCGTAGAACAGCAGTGGTATCACGTATAGATGTGGTGAAATAATTTCACCACTATTGGCGAAAATTGTGAAATTGGTGGTGAATTGGTGAAATTAATTTCATCATCATCTATAGTATCACGAATATATTTACATCTGTTTGTAACTAGGTCATATATTTATATGAATTCCTGCAGTAGTATGTTTGTAATTACGATGCCTATTGGAACTTGACTTTTTTCAGAAATTCATTTTGTTGATTAATTGTTATTTGTATTTATTAAAATTACGCTTTTTAGATAAATGTTTTCAACCGGGAATTTATTCTATTTTCGGATTATCTTTGAATATTTATTCAAGAGAATGAGAGATAAGATATTTTTGGAATACACAAATTATATTACTAACTTTAATGAAAAACTAATGAAAGACCTAAGAAACTTAGATAACTGATATTAAAATTGAATTAATAAGTACTATCTATTTATTTTTATCACTCGTATGACTACATGAGGGGATCTCATGTAATTTGATCATTTTAATTAATATTTCTTTGTCTTTATTCAAATTTTATTTACTTTTGATATGTAATAAGTTACGATTAATTGCATGTAAATCTCCAGACATGCAATTATAGCGATAGTGATACGGTGAATAATACATTTTTATTAGTGGGAACGGCCTCCACCGAAATTTGAAACAGTAAATCATATGACATAACTTGTTTTCCTAACAAAGTTTTTTTTATTTGTCGGTTGGGTTCTACTTATTTTTTATGTCAGTAATATGACCACATCTTGTATTAGCTCATACTCTAACATACTCTAACATCTAATTATAAACCAATTTCTTTGTTCTTTTTTTTTTTTATTTTCTATTAATTTCGGCCAATTATGTAAATCAAAAACTATGCGTGCTATAAAAATCTATTATCGTTACTATTTTATGTCGGGGTGAAATAATAAAACCCGTTTTGTTCATAAGTTAAAGTGAAATCCGCGTTTGTATGGTGTTTTTTTTTTTATGTTAAACCCTCATGTGATCTGCATTATAACGTACTGGAGTGTCACATGAATCAATTAATCAAAAACGTTATCTCTATGTTATTTACATTGACCATTGATTCGGAAAATGCGTACCAGGTTGGCATAGTGTTGGGAAATGTTTTTTCTTAAATGACCTTGGTCATTATGCGCATGACCTATAGTCATGATCATATTACGAATGACCAAGTGAGGTAACGTAGATGATCTTGATTTTTTATTTTTCACTTGTAAAACGTTACATTCTAAAAGTACATAAATCGAAATGACTGTGACTTGGTCACTTAGTCATTTAGGTCACATTCGATCATGTTTCAATAGTGGCTAGAAACTATAGAATTAGATTTCTCGAAGAAACGCTAAACTCATTGAAGCAGTTATAAGTTAACTTAATTTATTACAGTATAAGCTTAAATTTCTTATAATAATTGTAATAAAATAGGCTTATGTGGGATTCGGAGTTTCGATTTAAATCTACAGTATAATATCTACTAAATTTTAATTAATAATTTACAAGATATTTGTTAGTATACTGAATTAAATATTTTATCAAATTAAAATTAAAATTTTTAATAATTAAATATATTATGTTATACTGCAGCAATTAGAACTGAATAATTTTATCTTTTTGATATAATAAATTAAATAATTTGCAAGTTAATAACATAGTATTTATGCTTTTAGATTTTAATTGCAAAGTTGCTAGTTTTTTAATTAAAAATTTGTGCTTACTGTATAATTAAATAAAAATAAAACAAATTATTTGCTAAATTCAATAAAAACTTTTTTATTTTAATTTTACAGTATAACCTTAAAAATTTATTTCTAATTATTGTACTACTGTATATACAGTATACAAAGAATATAAAATAAAAAAATAATAAATTAAATAATAAATTGAATAATAAATTAAATAATAAATTAAATAATAAATTAAATAATGATAAAATTATTTTATTATCATTTATAGCAATTTTTAAAATAATAAAAAAATAAATATATAAAAGTTTGTTAATATATTGTTAAGATTATTGTTTTTTTTTTAGCTTTATTTACAAGTTGATAAAGATTTTAAAATAAGTATTAAAGTTTAAATTGGTTCAAAAATAACTATATACAGTAGTTTTTATACAGTATAATATATTTATTATAATGTCTCACCTTAAATATTTAAAAAAAAAAATAAAAAATATATTTATTATAATATTTATTTATATCAAATTAAAATTTATTTGTAAAAGATATACTTCGATCACTATATAAAGTTCACGGGGTATTAAGTTATACAAACGAAAACTTCGTTTCCGCTAATACCAAACGGCTTAGGATATTTTTATTACATATAGATCATGTAGTTAAACAAACAGATAATTTGTAAACAGATAAACACATTTTTGCAAATCATTTTTTTATTAATAACAAAGAACTCAAATATAAAATTTAACGATTTCCAAAATTTAACAATTACTGTATATACTACGTAAATTAAATTTATAAACTTAAAAATACATAAGTAATTTTTCAAAAAAACAATATTCTTGAATTATCTAGTTGCAAAACTTTACAAGTTAAAAGAAATATTAAAAGGTAATACGTAGTAAGTTTACACAGTATCTTGTACGTATGTAAAATTTTTTTATGACGTATTATTTTTTTTTAGAGACTATAAAAAAAAAAAAATTAACCAATTAAATTTTTAGAGTCAATGATTAGTAATAAAAAACCATTAGCGTTAGAGTTGGGCGTAAAAGTTAATTGCACAGAATAAAAGATAACCATTTTGGAATTAAAATTTCGGAATTTTTTGTAACCGAACCAAACTTTATACAGTAAATAATAGACTAAGTAAATCCAAAATAGGCAGCACGTGAATCTGTCATACCCATTTATGAATGGGAAGCACGGTCGGTCGCACTCATTATAAGGACGAATCAGAGATAAGTATTATTGTATATTATTAAATACGTAGTATCTAAAGTACAGGAGTATACGTAAGAGTTAAGCGGTTGAACCATAATGAAATTTATTAATCAGATTAATATTGTTTTATTAATGACCCAAATACGTAAAAATGAATTGCATACGTATTAAAAAATATAATAATATATATATATATTGTAATATACAATTAACTATAAATAATATTCGCACGATTCAGCTTAATTAGATTACTAATTTTAGATATTTTAACCAATTATTTAAAAAATTCTAAAGGCATATTTGAATATAGAAATTAAATTTGCTAAGGCTAAAACGAATAAACGATTAGTAATACAATTAGTACAATTTAATTTTTTGACAAGTAAAGAATCGGTTATTAAAATTAAGATACGCCATAATGATAGGCAAATATTTTGTGAACCATTACCAAATTGAATATAACAATTATTAAAAGCTGATTTATTCAATATTGATAAGAAAAGAATTTAATGAAATATAAGCCCTTTTTTTTTGCAAGACATAAAGACGTGAATTTAATTGGTTCAATAAAATGTCCGTTTTATCATAACTAAATTAGGATATATCTACTAACTTAATTCAGTAATTAGTGTAAAATCTACTAACCTAATTCAGTAATTAGTGTAAAATCTACTTACTACTTAACTAATTAGGATATATAGGACATAGTAAGAGGATTACGATGAAAAAAAACAGGTTTTGATAAAGTTAAATAACTAAAAATGGAATAAACTTACGCCATAAATCTTTAAAGATAACTATTTTTATGAAGTGACATAGTGTTACCAAAAATTTCCATAACGAAAACCACGCGAAGTTAAAATATTGACATATTCAGAGAGGCTAACGAAATTTAATACTATTGACAAAAACTGGTATAACGATAGTTATAAAGTTTATTCCTAAAACAATAGTAGGACTGAACAAAAAAGAGTAAAGTGTTACTACAGAAAACTCAGTCGGTTTCTACCGGAAATTAAGGCTGAACTTTTTTTTTTTTCACATGGAATTGAAATTACTAAATTGAAATTATTATAGAGAAAGAAAAAAAACCGTTATAAATTTTTATATAAATTTCATATAAATTTTATATATAAATTTTATATATAAATTTTATACATAAATTTTATATATAAATTTTATATATAAATTTTAATTTAATTGCAGTACAACAATATGAATGATAACACAGGTTTTGGGTAGAAAAACTTTAAGGAATAATAAGATACTCGAAAGGATAAAAGAATATACGTTTACCGACATTGCAGTATGTTGTGAACAGTAGTAACAGGTAAGGGTTTGAGAACACACGTATGTACGTAAGTACGCACTTACGTATGTACGAAAAAAAAAAGAACAAAATATCAGAATATCAGAATATCATATATAAAAAAGAAATGACATGAACACATAATTAGCAAGATTAGCGAAATACTACTTTGCTTAATTAAACTTTAACTATATAATTAATAAACTACTACATATAAGTACATATATTTTTTTTAATAATATTACATTAATTATTACATGAATAATACATGCTGATTTATGTTAAATAGTACTATATATGAATAATGAAATTTTGGAAATTTTGATATCTGAGCGCAAGCATTCAAAAAATCCAAATATTTTTAATAAGTTTTTAACACGTTGATATACACATTGATATACGCGCATAATTATTGTTGTCATGCGATTAAGTCATTCATTTATTTCAATTGTGATATAGAATATGTTTGTTTTTATATATTTATGCAAAGAATAAAGAATTTCTGCATTTCTGCTTAGAAATTATAACGCTAGTCATGTTTGTTATCTTAAAACGCATTATTAAAGAATTTATCAGATCAATCATATCTTATCAATGGTAACTCGGGCAATTCCTTAGGTGTGACAGAAATAATGAATGGGGAATGAATATCACCTATATTAGGAAACTTTTAGAGTTATCATTAATAAAGGGTCACATCGCACATCCTATAGATAAGAGAACGCCCAAGCACAAACGAATTTTACCATTCCAGGAACGTGCAAAAATTTCAGGTGAAAAATGGACCACACAGTGTACGCATGCATGCATTAAAAAAAAAAAAAAAAAAAAAAAAAAAAAAAAAATCAATACACACTGATAAGAATTTTTTTACATGTTTATGTAAACAACAAATATTTTGTACGTATTTTGTTTGTGTAATTCAATATATTTATTGTATATGTATTATAAAAAAAAAAAAATGAACAAAGATGGCGAAATTTATTTCTATTTAGTTAAACGTAAATTAGTAAAGATTAACGAAAAGCAACCGGAGCAAGGCGGAGGAAAGATAACATGCCTTAAAGAACACATGGATGCTAATAAATTATCTCAAAACCACGTTTTACCTCATTATTGCTCCCTTTTGCATTTTTGTCGCCAACATCCGAATTCGCATGCATTAAAAGCATAAACCAATTTTTTTTCATTCATTTTACTTATTTATACTTTTTTTTTATTTTTTATTTTTTAAAAAAAATTGATCACCATATGGTTCGGCTTTCTTTTCGGACTAAAAAAAAAAAAACCACCGAAAATTTTTTTATTATTTTACGCACGTACAATTCCAATATATTTTATTACTGAAATATTATTTACTAAAAACATTGTGGATACTTACGTGAGCACCTAAGTACTTAGAAGTATAAAGTTACATAGGACCAATATTTTATTCTGTATAGTGACGTTATGTTTATGCACAAACATGCAAAAGAATCTTATCTTCAGCGTACAAATTGATTGTGTTTAGGTAAAGAGATAAGATAAGACTTTTTTGGTCAAATACAACAAAATTAGCCCATACTTTGTGTACATGTTGATTTTCTTTGTAAGCTTTAAATTAATGGAGTGTAACCGAATATCATTTTTGAAAATTATTATAAAAGTTTTAGCTTTCCACGTCTGTCTGAATTTCAAAAAGTCGTTGAAAAACAGCACAGCGTCTTAAAAAAAAAAAAAATTAAAAAATCTAAATTATTTAAATTATTCGAAAAAAAAAAAAAAAATTAATAATAATAAATAATCTAATTAATTATTATTTTTTTTTTTTTACAATTTTTTAATTAATTATTTATTTTAAATTATAATGAACTATTTTTATATGCATAACGGAAAGCACGTGGGAACCGACGTAGATTGAACTATTTATTTTGCATCACTTAAATATTTGTAAACTCTTAATCTCAACACATATAACACTTCTTCGCTCAAAGGCTTTCTTAACACTCTAGTACAATATTACAATATTACAATATCTTGTACAACACACAGTATTGAACACAGTATATTGAAACACACAAAAAACATCTTAGAATTTATATATTATTAATAACAGAAAAAAAAATCAAATGGTCGGTCAAAACCACATTTTGATGAACATAGATAGCGGTTCTATTGTGTATACTCCTCACATTACTGGCACTTACGCCATTCCCACGTCAAGCGAAAAAATTTTACACGTACAAATACCAACTTATCAAGTTATCAACTCTTCTTCTCCTATCATCTATCCTACCATGACTGAAAGTGATTTAATGTCTTCTTTTGTTCTCACTAATGAGATGCAACAACAATTATTTATGGATCATAATTCAATGCAACAACTTCAAGATTCTTTCACTGAAACTGATTATGATGATATCATGTTGAGAAGTCCTACTGAAAATTTTTCGCATTCTTCCGGTTTAGACTCCCAAGTAAACAGCCCTCCTGGTGAATGTCATAGTCCTGAAATGATGAACTCTTTTGATGTTGATGATATCTCTTTCGATGAATTTCTTTCCGATCCTAATTTGGATCCTAATTTAATGTTTAAAGATGATTGTATTCCTGAAAATTGTGTCAATGATTATGTTAAACTTGAAAATCATGATAATGATGACCTTTTAATGTCTCATGTTTCTGATTGTAAGCATTATTTATTTTATAATTTTATAAAAAAACTTTTCTTTTTTAAAAAAATTTATTTATTTACTTACATTTTACAATTCTTTTTTAATTAGCTGATTCTGCGCAAAACGATTATTCTTTTGATTCTCCTGAATCTCCAAAAAATAATTCTGTTACTATTGGCACTCCTCCTCCTTCTCCTCAACAAACTTCTGACCCTGCTAATGCTTCTACTGATAATTCCGATTCAAAATCAAAATTAATTCCTCCTAAAAAGCAATCTAGTACAAAACCTCCAAGAAATTTAGAATGTTACAATTGTGGTGTAAATAAAACTCCTCTTTGGCGTCGTACTCCTGATAGAATGCATTCTTTATGCAATGCTTGTGGATTGTATTATAAACAATACAATACTCATAGACCCTTACATATTAGAAATAAACCAACTAATAGTAATGCTCCTTATACTCTTCCGGTTTCAAGAAAATGCACTATTTCAAGTGTTTCTTCTGATTCTTCGGGTTCTCAATCTCCTCCACGACAATCTTCTCCTCCTCCTCCTCCTCCTCCTTCTTCTTCTTCTTCTTCTTCTTCTTCTCAACCTTTACAACAAATTCCTCATCAACCTCAAAATATTCATCCTTCAATTAATCCTAATGATGCTGCTATTCGTTGTGTTAATTGTGCTCAAACTCAAACTCCATTATGGAGAAAGAATGAAAAGGGTCAACCTATTTGTAATGCTTGTGGTTTATATGCAAAATTACATAATAGAGATCGTCCTGCTGCTATGAGAAAAACAAAAATTCAACGTCGTCGTCGCGATTGGGGTGGTGCTAATGGTAATCAAAATGGTGTAAATATTGATGACTCCGTTTCTGATGGTTCTTGCGATTCAAATTTACAACATTCTACCTCCCCTAATCAACATCCAATCACCATTCAATTAACTGGTCAACGTCCAATAGTACCATTAATGATTCCTCAATCTCAAATTACTTCTTCTCCAATTACAATGATTGCTTCAATTCCATCTCTTCAACCTAATTATACAAATGGAATTCCTTATTTATCTTATCACGTTGAACTTGATGATTCAGGCTTTAAATCTTCTGTCAGTAAATTACCAAGAGATCAAGCTGAAATTGTTCTTGATACTTTGGAAAGACGATGCCAAATTGTCAAAGATCTATTGGTTGAGAACCAAAATTATTAATCAAAAAAAGTTTTTTATTATTTGCATTTGTTGGTTATTGTAAAAATACAGCTTCTTTTTTCTTTTTTTTAATGTTGGTTTGTAGAACTTTTAAAATAAAGTCGGTGTAGATAAAAAAAACAAAAAAAAAAAAAACAAAAAAAAATATATATATAAAATATAAATTCTCTTAGACATCACCTCATTTATTCATTCTTCCCCTTCCCCTCCCCCACACACATACATCCACAAAATCTTTACGATTATATATTCTCTTTCTCAATCAAAAAACAAATCAAGATTTCTTTTTTTATTATGTATATAAAGTTTCAATCATTCTATGAAAAAAAAAAAAAGTATTATAACTCAATTTTCTCATATTTTTGCATTTTTGATTTCCTCTCACATGTACTTTTTCATATAGTTTTTTTTTTTCTTATATATATTTCAATTCCATGTATCATCATGATTATGTAATTTCTTTTATGTTTATAATAAATGAAATTATGAAAATTTAATTTAGAGCAACTTTTCTTGCCAAGTATACGTATAATTGAATTGATCATAAATAATGAATAATACAATATATATATATATATATATATATAGTTATTGGATGCGAAAAAATTCTGTTATAAGTTATTTATCAGAGGACTTATATATTTTAAGTTATATTTAAAGAAGTCTCTGTGCTTAATTCGTGTTGAAATCGGTGTGCGTATATACGTAAATCGAATGTAGTTAGTTTTATTCAGCAACTTCATTTCTTTAACATGGATGGAATTGGATTGATAACAAGATTGATAGTGTGACTATATAGTAGTGTTTACAAGAACAATAATCACAAAGAAAATCTAGAGAAAACGTATGCATTAAACCATTGTTGAGAATTAGATACGTACATACTAAAATATTTAGTTATACAACTCAATGTATTGTCGCGAAATAACGAACTTGGGCGTTATTTAGAATCATACCTTTTGAAATTAGCAAAAACAATTTCAAATTAACGCGTCAATGCGCGTCCAGAAATTATTTTAATTTATATATATATATATTTTATTTTTATCTCATTGAGCGAACTAACTTTTATTTTATTTCCAATTAACTATCCTATATTATTTTTAACACCTCATCATTTTATCTATTGTTACTGTCATTAATTATTTTTACAGGTGAGTCATTTTGTTAATAAAAATCTCAATATATTATGGTTATTGTACGGTTACGTAAGGTGTCGCGGTTAAAAAATTTAGTATACTAAATAAATTTCATGTCAAGATGCCATCCTGGCATGCTATCAAACCGACCAACCTAAAAAAACTCAAGGTGATTTACATATCCCCTAATGACTTTACTTGTATTCTATGTTCCTATAATTCCGAAATTTCCTAATAATATTTAAAATATATATAAATTGGCGATGTATCGAGTTACCTCATTATAATCAATTTCGAAAAAGATGGGACGTGTTATTAAAAATGCTATATTCCGAAAGATAGAATTATCATATAAACAGATTGTAATTAAGAAATTGAACTCATTTTTACTGCATAAAATTTACCTCATAATTTAGGCTGAAATTGGTATTATTGTATTAATGTAAGCTGGGTTAAACGGCTAACTGATTAATTTGTTGAAAAAATTTTTTTAGGCTTTCAAATAATTAATAAAAAAAATAAAAATAAATAAAATAAATAAAATAAATAATAAATAAATAAATAAAATAAAAAAAGAAAAAGAATAAAAATAAAATAAAATAAAATACGAATAAAATATTTAATTAGTAAAACTTTTTTCTAAAAAATAAAATCTTAAAATAAATAAAAATATTATAAAATAAAAATGGATAAACATCCTCAAATAATGCTCTTAACAACGTGCAGGTGGGCGACAATACGATTAAATTTTATAGTATCACCAAACTTAAAAAAAGTCAAAATATAATGCATATATTAGCTACTTCTTTAAATGATTAAACTTAATATTATTATAGACCAAAATAGACCAAGATAATATTTGTGCTTGAGCATGTAAGTAGTAGCTTTTAAACGACTTTTTATTCAAAAAGTTGAATGATAAATTGAAAAATTCAACATGCGATTCAACTCATAGGTATGCATAAATGTTATTTAGAATAAAGTAGATTTCTTACTACAGTATAACTACAGTATATAAACGCGTAATAACGCACATTGACTTTATTTTGAAATTTCCGCTTTTTTTGAAAATTTCATATTTGACTCAAAATAGTTCACATGTGTATCTCAAAATAACACGCCCTTATTGAATCCTAACATAGTTGCTAAATATTTGTTATACAGAATATATTATTATTTTAAAGTATAAAAATAATTCAAAATATCGCCATGTGCATCCAGAAATAATGCAAAGATGCCCAAAATAACGCGTAGGTGTGCGTTATTACGTGCTTATACGGTATATTATAGAATTTTAAACTCTGTAAAAATGATTACGTAGTCTGATATTGTTCTCGTAAGTCTAGTACCGTATAACATGATCTAAAAGACCCAGGGTCCTTTACAAGTTAGTTTGCATATATAGGTATTATAGTCAGAGGAATATTATAGTTAGCATAGGGGATACAAGTTGTACTATATAAATGTCGCAGAGAAACCTGTCATTGGACTTTCACACATTCTAGGCCTAAAATTGGGAAAGGCATTATAATAGGAGGGTCTCTTAGATGCTATATGGTAATTTGGGTTCTCATTCTTATAATTGCTATGAATATTTTTTGGTCTTAATCAAGGTCGACTTTATATTCACTTAAATAACTTATTTGCAAAGAAACTTTTTTTGGATTATCACAATGTATTGTTAAATTAACTATGTTTAGAATTGCGAGTAAAATTGGTTCGAAGGCTTTATTTATATTAAAGGAAGAAAGGTCCCGTAGGTGTAAAGTAAATAAAATATTTATAATGTTGGAGTCTTCTTGTAGGAAGTATCAAGCGAAAGATAATCTTTCAAAGATTACAATTCTACCAATCAAGATAATAGATGTAAAACAAATTCAGAGCACAAACAAAAGATATATTGCCTTTTGTTTTTTTGAAGTAGGTTTATGGTTTATATTTTACATTATTATGCTTATAGAATCTTACGAATATTTTTTGAATTAAAATGCTGCGATAAACAAAGTGATCGACTATCTATAAATGAAAGTATCAATAATATTAAATCAAGAAATCTTAATTACTAAAGTTAAAGAATTCATTAAAGGGATAATTAGGGGGTTTCGGAATTAACTTTTTTTCAAAATAAGTGAGAGTTTAAAAGGTCCTATTTTCTTTTTTAGAATTCCGAATCAGAAAATTAAATAGGCATAGCCGGTGATAAAATTTGGCTTTTTTTTGATAAACATTCATCGGTAAACGATTATGTAAATAAGTACATACTTTAAAAAAAATAAAATTTCATGCCAACGAACAGGATCTTAAAACTACATTTATAAATTTTTGTAATACATTTAACAAAGGTATGCTCATTTCCGAGGAATCTTAAAGTAATATTTTAGATTGGTTATATCTTATAGACGAGTCAATAATCTATATATAGGGAGAGAAAATAACAAGGAAGTTGATTCCTTGATACAACAACTAGAAATGGTATGGTTACTCATTATTTGCTGAAATATGTTATGAAATTGGTTTGAACACTAAGAAAACTCAATTAAATGGTAAGTAATTGAAAATGCTGTAGTTGTGCAGCAGCGAAAACGAATACCATATAAGCGCGCACATGCGCGATAATTCGAAGCATTATGCTAATTTTGGAAAAAAATTTCAACTACTAAGAACTTTCTTGAGACATCATAATAGAATTAGAAAGAGGCACTTAGTTTTTTTGAGAATAAGACAACATAAGGCGAATAGATTCTAGATATATTATTAATCATATTTAATCATATGATAATAAATAGGTTTCGGATTTAGATGTTGAACCTAAGCTTATTATATTCAAATTTATTCGAAGATTCAAAAAAGATAATCTGGTACATATGGGACGCGTTATTTTGAGTTAAATATGTCGTTTTTAAAAAAAAACAAAATTGCCCATGTGCGTTATTACGCGCTTATATGATACTTGGTAAATGAGAATAATATTTCCAAGCATTTAGATTACCCAAAAGCACATTTAAAAAAGAAAATATGTTAATGCACAATTTGTAATTATATCATTATGAAGCAAGAATTTGAATTCTCTAAAAAAGCTACCGAGATGGGAGTATTATTCACCATATGAATATGCAGAAAAGCTTTCAATTTATATCAAATGGACAAAATTGTTATGAAGACTTGGAGCGTGTCATGGCTAAATAATTTTAATTTTTAAAATAGATTGCTAAATAGCTAGCTGCCGTACTTCTATAGAATCATCCAGGGAAGCCAGAAAAACGCTGTGACGTAGTCATGGAGCAATTATGCGAAATTCTACTTATGAAACCACAACCTAGAGTTAATACCTCAATTCGGATATATTTTTTATATCCGGATTACAGCTGTTTTCATTATTCCTGGGACACCTATAAAAAATTAGCCGAAAAAAATTTTCGGCCGGTAATTTTTTCGG